GTCTATTTCCCGTCAAGTCAATCCCAAGTTCTTCAGACTGGCATTCCAGGTGCACTGTCACCTGGCTCCATCTTATCTGCTCTTATCTTTAGCTCTTTCCAAAGATGGGCTCTCCATTCAGTTTGATCTCTTTACTGTCAACACCCACTCACACTCATACACACCCACTCACACACACACACACACACACTCACATACACACGCACACAGACACTCTCTCACACACACACACACACTTAGCTGGGCATTAAAATGATAATCTTTCTGTCTCAGTTTTGCCTGAGACCCCAAGACATTAGGTACTTACTACCTTACATTGAAAAATGCAATGCTAGACCACCTATGAAGAACTAGTAAAGGAAGTGGGGAAAACCAGTTTTGTGGTCTCTGCCCAGCACCAATAGGCTGAGGTTGAGACAGCCTGGGAAATTAAGAAGGAAATTTCCTTGAGGAAAGTGTTTAAATGCAGAGCAGAGGAATGTCTTACTTCTAATGGTGGGGCTGGGGGCTTCCTCCTCATCTCACACCCAGTGAGAGGGAATTTGAGAGGATTCCTCAGAGAGCTTTATTTTTGTTTTCTGAAGTTTCAAGGGAAAAATGGGACCGATAGGTAATTCACAGTGAGAAAACGTAAAGGAGCAGGCCTATGGCTGGAGCTGCTTGCCTGGAGGCAAAGGAGAGAAAAGTGATTTAATTGGGAGTCAGGAGTGCTTTTACTGATGATGGGACAGATATGCAGGTTCCCTGTGGACCTCTTGTGGTCACATTGGAGAGCCAGCTGGGGTCAGTTTTAAATGAAAATAGGCTACACCCAAAGGACTTCCACAGATAGGGTCATCTTGGCATAAAAAAGTAGAGAGGTGTTCTGATGGACACAGAAGCTTCTGGGGAGGGGTGAAGGTTGTGAGGGACCAATCTGAAGGGAGACATTGCCCTTATCAAGAAAATTGGGTATTCCAAATTGAGGGGCTCCCTATAGAACTTCCCCCTGGGAGAAAGGGAAGACTTGTAGAGGGTGCTAGTGTGAGGTCATGTTGGTACCAGCAAAGACCTTTGCTTCCCTTTTTCTCTCCCTCCACCTCCTCTAAACCCAGAGCAGTCCAGGGGTGGGTGGCAGGAGGGGTGGAGGAGAATACAAGTTGGGGAAATAGAGAAACACACCAAAATGTTTCTTCTCACACCAACCAATTCTCCCATTCTTTGACACCAGCTGGGTGTCCAACAATTCGATTCAATTCAATTCTGACTTTAACTACTTGGAGTTAGTTTCAGACTCCATAGGTGACAGGCTCAGTCCCAAGAGAATGCTCATACTTTTTCTTTTGAGTATAAATTTATTTTTTAATTATAAAAATTATAACTGTACAAAGCAAAATACAATATTACAATAAGTCGATAAATTTAGACAAGGCAAAAATATCATCCATAATCCCATCACATTATATAACAATGATTGTTTTGAGTGTCAGTGTCTTCTTTCACATGCATTTTTTGACAGAGTTGTAATAGCCCAGTATGTTTAATTTTGTGTCCTGCTTTTTTTTTCAAATTTGATAATATAGAAATGTATTATGGGCCGGCCCGTGGCTCACTCGGGAGAGTGCGGTGCTGATAACACCAAGGCCACGGGTTCGGATCCCATATAGGGATGGCCGGTTGCTCACTGGGTGAGCGTGGTGCTGACAACACCAAGTCAAGGGTTAAGATCCCCTTACCGGTCATCTTTAAAAAAAAAAAAAAAAAGAAATGTATTATGATGAACTCTTGAAAACAAAAATGCTCTTAACTATCTGATTCAGAAAATTCAAAACTGTCAAAAGAGATGCAGAAAAGAAATAAAGTAAAAAAAAAAAATTGGATCATAATGAGAAATGAGTTTTGACCTTGATTTCAATCTCCCGTAACAAAGTCTGTCAAAGAAGGTGAATGACAGTTACATATTTAACAAGTTACACAATATATACAAAGATTATGTGCCCTAAAAGAATTATATAAAGTTAATGTTTCACTAAAATATTTACATCAGTGGTGCTCTGTAGACTGCTTATTAGTCATTTTTTTTTTGATTCTTTAAAAGAATCAAGAAAATTTGCAAACCTTTATCTAGACTGACCAAGAAAACAAGAGAGAAGACAGAAATTACTAAAATCAGAAATAACAGCAGGGGCATGGTAGACGAGTTGCATCTTTATTACACTGGAGTGGGCTTTGAGGAGAGAGATGTCCTCTTCTTTTTCTGGTCTCTGCTGGTGAGTCTCCTTCTGTCACTGCAGTTGGGTGTCTGGTGGGCCACCTGAACAGTAGCTGTGACTACTGCTGTGGCATTGAGCTGCTTTTGCAGCAGCCATGTCTGTGGTGGTGGCTGTTGTAGGCCACCCACGAGGAAGTGGTGTTTTTGAGTGCTCCTTGCCTGTTTCCTTGTGGAGGGGGCTGCCCTCAGCTCCAGCCTTTGACCCAGGGCATCCTCTGTTTCTTGCCTGCGTGATCCCAGCCAGGGAGAGGGGTGGAGAGCTGTCCCTCGGCTCCTGCCTTAGGATCCTGGGCATGCTCTCGAGACTGCTTATATTTTAGATGCCAGCTGCAAATGGGGTTGCCCAGGCTACCCAAATTTCTGCCAAGCCAACTGCAAATTCAGAGGTTTCCATGACTCTCTCCTTGGGCTTGATAATTTCTTAGAATGACTCACAGAACTAAGGATAGCATTTTACATACTAGTACTGGTTTATTGGTTTATTATAAAGGATATGACTCAGGAACAGCCAAATGGAAGAAAAGCACAGGGCAAGATAAGTGGGGGAGGGGTCGGTACAGGGTGTCCATGCTCTCTTGAGGCACACCACCCTCCCAGCACTCTGCTGTGTTCACCAAACCAGAAGCTCCCCAAACCCAGTCATTCCAGATTTTTATGGAGGTTTCATTGCATAGGTAAGATTGATGAAGTCATTGGCCACTGCTGATCAGATTCAACCTGCAATTCCTCTTTCTTTTTTGGGGGTGTGGGGGGTTGAGAATTCCAACCCTCTAGTCAAGGCTTGGTCTTTCTGGTTGAAAGGAGCTTGTTACCATTAACCAAAGATGCTCCTGTCATTCCGGAAATTTTAAGGGTTTTAGGAGCTCTGTACCAGGAACTTGGGGCAAAGACAAAATATGAAGGGACTTCAAAAAGTTCATGGAAAAATAGAATTAAAAGATAATACAAATGTTTTGTATTAAAGGATAATACAAAAATGAACTTTTTGAAGTCCCTCACGTATTTTCTATTATCCCACATCCAAAATACCTCCTTTCCCACTGCAGGCTTCCAGCCTGGAGCAGGCCTGGGCTAAGGGAGACAGGACTCTTTTACTTTGAACAAAATTTGGAATTTAAATTTTTCAATTAAAATAGACATTTTTATTACTGAAATGACATTTTATTGTATCTAGAATGACTGGAGGGCTTTTTGTTATTAGAAATGAACTAGACACCGGTGCAAGTCCTTACTAAGGTGTCATGCCAGGAGTGGAGAAGAAATGTTCCAGGAAGTGGGTTTGTGTGGACAGGAGAAAGGGGAAAAACTAAGCTGTTCTTTTCCTGTACCCCTTGAAGTACCTTTTCTTCAACATCACTGTCACACTTGCTGAGGCTGCACATGCAGATAGGTACACTGGTGCATGCAAGCAGGCATGGCTGCACGCACACCCCACAGACCTTTCCACCCTCCAGGATCTAAAGTTGATCTCATCTCCTCCAAGAAATCTTTCCTGCCTAGCCCCAGCCCACTCAGCTCTCTCTCTCTAGGTGTTTCTATAGTTCCTATTTTTTAAACTGTATAACCTAACACTTAAATACACAGACCCACCATTTATCAACCCTGGTCTTCTTTTACGTATGTGTTTTTGCCTCTCATTCTTATGATAAACCTCTCACCAGAAACAAGTGTGTTTTAGTTTTCGGGTATTTCTTATACAAGAGTACTTCGAAAAGTTTATGGAAAGATTTATATTATCTTTTAGTTCTATTTTTCTACAGACTTTTTGAAGTACTCTTATATATCCCTAAACTCATAACCAAATAAACACTGTTAGATTGATCGATCAGTTAGGTCCAAACTTCATGGCTACCTCAAAGGTTGGTTAAGTATATAGTCATCCAGTTTGGTCTAAATCTTTTTCTCTCCTGAGGAAAATGCTGGCCACCTTAACTCAGCTTTTCAGTTTTGTTGGTTGGTCATTGAACTGTTGGGCGGAGTATGCTAATCGAATAATTAAATTTCACGTCAGCTTTTATTTGTTGATGAAAGTTAAAATACCAGTGCACGTGGTTTGGTATGTGATACCAGTTCTCTTCATGCGTTGCACTGGGAAGGTAACTTTGGTCAACATGCATGTTACTCTATCATTTGCTTTACCTCATGGTCACCTGCAGACCTAAATTCTTAGATTACTAACATTCAGCTTTTTGATAACAAAATTTTCTGTATAGGTGGAAGAGCTTCTCAGGCAGCTGGAAGTACATACTGAGACCAGCCTCTCTCAAAATTGCTTTGATCATGGGCAGGGCAAAAAATTCTTCAGGTTCCTCCTTTTTTTTGTTTTTTTTCCTTTTTGTGACCAGTAAGGGGATTGCAACCCTTGGCTTGGTGTCGCCCGCACCGTGCTCAGCCAGTGAGTGCACCAGCCATCCCTATATAGGATCCGAACCCACGGCGGGAGCACTGCTGTGCTCCCAGCGCCACACTCTCCCGAGTGCACCACAGGCTCGGCCCAGGTTCCTCCTTTTTGTTAGCCCCTCCTTTTCACTTGCTTCTGGATGGTGAAGGAAATTAGTCTGATTTTATTAATTTTCCCATCTGCCATGGGGGCTGACAGCGTGATTGAATACCAAAAGGCACAAGTCTTCTCTAAAGCATTTCAGGGATCCAGGGAGCCAAATATGTCCGTGAATCCTTGGATGTCTCAGCAGAATGAATGAATCATCTATGTGCATTGGACAAATGAATCTCTGTGCTTCCTCTGCAGGTGATACAGGCTTGTCACTCTTGTCCCAAAGCGATCGAAGTTGTCGTCAATGCCTATGAACACATCAGGTGGAACATAAAGTGGAGAAGAGCTATCCCTGATGATGACTTGGAGGTAAATGATCAATCCACTTCCTATGGTTGTCACTATCAAGTACTTCCTTCCGGACTGTGATAAAAGTGCAGAAAATTCTAATTTAAAAAATTGGTTTGACAATTGGCTTTAAAGCTTATTCAAATGCAATATGACAAAGGATTATAAAATGCAGGTGTGAGAGTAAATAGTTCCCTCAAATATGTGGCATTAGGGAGTGTACCAGGGAATTTCTCCATCTAAGGGCAAATTGAATAAATATATAAGGGTGGCAGTTTTACTTTCTTCCCATCAATTCAGATGAATTAAATGATAATATTTGGGATTGCTCATATAGAATTTTTATCAGAACATTAAAGTGTTTTGATTATATCACTCACTTTTAAATATCTTGAAGTAGTTATTAATCAGGAAACAGATTAAAAACCCTGTGATGGAATATACAGAAAGCCAGTGGTAGAGCCAAGTCCTCAATTGTGGACTTAGGTATTTTGCTACCTTTGTAAACAGTCCTTCCCACTGAACATTCTGTCCTTGGTTTTAGAAGCCAAAGATGTCTCCAGCACAAGGAGAGGCTCCAGGCATGGAATGCAAAGTTCACTGGGCTTGGAGGCTGATGGCTTAGGTGCAATCTTACTCTGCTGCTTGATAGCTATTTTACCTTTATTTAAAAAATAATTTTAACAGTGTATGTGCCAAATTTTACCTTTAAAAGTTACTTAATCTGACTGGGCTTCATCAATCCTTCGCTTCCATTAACTACCTGAATATATAGGTCACACCACACATATAAAGGGCATATAATAATATTTAGATTAATCTGAAATTTCTGTTTTGATTTAGACTAGTCCAGGCAGTTCACACAAGCATATTTCATCTCTTTTCCTGTGTTCTGAATTGTAGAGTATTATGTCCCTTCCTTTCTCCTTATATATTACCTCTTATCTCCTAATCTCAGTTTCATCTTTAGTTGTCTCACTGCCAAAGACCCTAGAAAGCTGCCATTATTTGTAAAGTAGGGACTAAATGCATCTTTTTTGATTTTTATTGATGTAAAACATGGGGCCTTTCTCATGTCAACATGTCTTGCCTTCCTTTGCAGAGATACTGGGATTTTTACCACTCTCTCTTCACCGTGTGTTGTAACTCTCCAAGGACTCTCATGCATTTATCGAGATGTGCCATTCGAAGAGCGCTGCACAACAGATGCCACCGAGCAATTCCTTTGCTTGCCCTCCCATTGTCATTGAAAAAGTACTTGCTTTTAGAGCCAGAGGGAATCATTTATTAAGTCTTATGAGACAGCAGTTCACAATCCTAGATATTTAAGTTGACTTGCTGGGTAGACACGGTTTGCATAAATAAGATGGTACTTGGGTTGATTATAACACTTTAGGGATTTCAAAAACACTTTACAAACACTATATCATTAATCCTAGAGTATCATGGTGAGGGGAAATAAACAAGAAGTAAGTTAAAGAATTTTCAAAGACAAGAATGCATCCAGAAGGTACTGATAAAACAGTAATAACTGATATATATAACGCTCTTATTAGGTGCCTGATATATTTTTGTAAATCTTTTCATATATTATCTCATCTGAAATGGGACCCATGTTTTCTTAGAACCAATCTCATTCTCTATCTTATCAGCTATAAGTTTACATTACTGTTCAGTTTGCGATATAGCAAGCAGGCTTTGTGATTGGCCTCTTAAACACGCTATCTTCTCCTTATTACTACTTAGCAGTAATTATTATCACTAGTTTTGCAAAGTCCTACTTCCCAAACCAAGCTCCTCAACTTATTTTAGTGAAGAAAGTTCATGAGCATCGTTAAAGCAAGGAGATCTTTGAGTCAAATTAGAAATGAGAAAGACCGTCCACTTAGTAGTCAAGGATGGACATTTCGACACACACTCATTGAGCTAGAGACTGGAGATGCAAAGACGAGTCCAATGTGGCTCCTGCCCTCCAGGATCTCACCATTTAGCAGAGGATCCAGACACACAAGCAGGTAACTGCAATGTGAAGTGACGGGGCGAGGGTACAGGTGCAGACTCATTTTTAGTGCTTGCCTTTCAAAGTCGTGTTCTGACACGAAGTGTGATTTTTCTTTCAAGCATGAAGTTAAAGAGTGAAGGGATTGTGTAAAGTAGAGGGAACTCCTGCTATTGTTAGGGTAATTATATTTATTTAAGTTTCTCCAAACACCTAGATAGTGTTTTAGTTTAGTATGGTTTCCTGTTTAGAGCTTTCTCAGACTCCTTGAGAAAAATATGGCAAACTTAATAGCTTCCATGGATGTGACAAGGAAGTTTAAGAAAACAAATAAAACAAAGTATGTGAAAGACTTAGTTGATTACGCTGGTCTTTTTATGCAGCAGACTGACATTTCCAAGCATTTTAGCTAAAAGTTAAGGAGCATTTTGCTAATAATGGCTGGCTACAGAAAGTAAATAGAAAGGCTTTTTAGAAATGGTAAAAGTTTGAGAAACTTGGAAAGTTAAGTGTGTTAACCAGGCTTGCTAGTTAGTGGTTTGCAGAAAGAGAAGTGTAGATGATTAACCTTTGGGCCTTTGGTTTATGCGGCCAACTTTGCGAAACTTTTTTGTTCTTGCTAATCACCTTTAGATAAGCTCATTTTCTCTTAACGTCGCTTCTTAGGGGTTAAAGCAAAAGTAATTAAGTGCAAACAAATACTATTTGCCAGTTGTGAGCAGGTTTCTTTTATCTGTGTAGTTCTCCATCTTGTTTAACTTTGAATGTCTGGGCGAATAGCAATCATGTTAAGTGCTCCACGAGGCTGTCACCTAGACTGTGCATCTAAGCTGGGGTTCTCTTACTCCTGGTGCTGTGTAGGAAAAACCATAGCTGGATACGATAATCTTTCTTAAGTAGCAGTTTTACTCAAATATTTTGGGGGAAATGTTTTGTACTGAAACAAGAGCTATATCATGGAACAGAATTCTGAATGTGTATGAATTATTCATATTAAACATGATCCTTCAAGAAATAGTTTGCTCGCAGCAAGTGACATTAGAACACATCTTAGAACTTGGAGGATTGCGTGCTTCCCTCTGTCTTAAGGAGTGTTCTGGCAGAATAATCTGTGAGGCACAGCCTTGGGGCAAGCATGGGAAAGAAAAACGTTTCTCAATTAGTTTGTTCATGCTTAAGTATTTGTGTTAATCTAGCGTATAATACATAGCTACTTGCTTTGAATTGTTTATATGTGGATTTAAAGTGTTTTTTTCTCATATTTGAACTTGTATTGAGAAAACTCCGAATAAAGCTCTTCTATTTCCTTTCGTCTCTGAGTTGTTTATTTACCAGTGAGACTCTTTTTCCTAACCCAACTTAGACTTTTCAGCAATGAGACTGAAGAACTCTATATGTTTCATTGTTTTCTTCAACATTTAGAAAGAAAAAGAGAACGAGGAATTGTGCTTATAATAAATGAGGGTTTCAGAAGAAAGTAAAGGATAAATGTGGCTGAAACATAAATACAACAGCAGGCGATTGCTATTGGAATGAGCATGTAAGTAGTAACAAAGAAATTGCACTCAATCATTCTCTTCTGCCTCCCACCATCTCTGTCATCCTGGGTTTTTTTGTTCCTCTTCGTTCTCACCATCCACTCAACTCTGGGCGAAGCAACAGAGGACATTATATTCTCATGATATCTTTGTTACCTTCTGGGAGGACTTTCTGTAAATTGACATCTAGTATCATGAAGGAAAAAAAAAAAAAACAATCTCTCTTCTATGAGTTGCATGAGAGGAAGAATCTTTGATATGAGGAAACAACCACCTATCCAGTTTTCTGTCCTCAGGAAATAGACACACTTGTGTTCTGCTTTTTAATCACTAAGTGTTACATCTTTGTCCTTCCATTCTGAACCCAGTGGGTTCTGATAAAAACATACTAGTCAAAGATGATCGTAGGGATAAAAAAAAAGCAACAAACCATTTGCAGTAGGTCATCAGTGTTGGAAAAGGCAGCTAAGGCATATTATTATAACTCATCTGATTGTGAGGAACTCACAATATTCTAAGCTGTTTCACTTACAAAACTTTTAAAAAAGAATCCAACTATTTGCTTATTTTCTTTGAAACGCAAACACCATTGTTAGTACCTGTAAGGAATTCCTTGTTACTTTCTTTAGGATGATAAGCAGGTGCATTAGAGTAGATGTTCAAAGTTTTGGCTCTGGTGCCTGTCTGGGTTCATACTCTGGCTCCCACCCTTATATGATCCATAATTTAGGGAAAATGACACACCTGCTTCATGCCTCAGTTTCCTCATTTGTGAAATGGGAATAATAATGGTACCTACCTCACAACTTTTATAGGATTGTTTTGTGAATTATTAATACATTAGAGCAATAGAACAGAGCATGACACTCAGTAAGCATTTTATTATTATTGTCCTTGTTATTGTCATAATCATTGTACTTTAAGGACAGGTTTCTACCAGTGGGGTAATATATCCTTAGAGAGGTGCTGTACCTATAGGTGATACATGGTAGATTTCTGTTCACTTTAGAAACTACTGGGTAAGCTCCCACTATGTGCCAGGCACTTGGATGACAGCTGGGAATCAGTGGGGGAACAACACAAACCAGGGTGCTGAACTTCCTGGGATTTTTTTGAGGTGGGGAATAAAGGTGGAAATAACATTGATGTGGAGGATCAGCAAATAAGCAAAACGTTAATTTTTGAAACTTTGTCATTTTGTAAGAGGGTTTATTAAGGATCCAATGACTCCTTTTACTATTTCATGAAGGCTGTGGGGTTACTTGAAAATTTATCATGTGGACAGAGAGGGGGTTGAGCAGCTGTTACCATCTTCAATGGGAGAAAGAGAAGGAGGAGATTAACTTTATAGCAGGAGTGTAGATTAGCAATGAGATTCCTAGCAGTGAGGGCACATCAAATGAATGGACAGGCAGGGCTTATGAATTTCATTCATTTATTCTTTCACTTGCAAGAGCTTATTCAGTATACCACATGCACAGTTCTGTGCTAAATTTGGAAAGAAAAAAGGGGAGTGTTGTTAAGTCATTGTATCATTCACTTTTAGTAGCACAATGTTTTTATTTATTTGTTTTTCCTAAGAAATAAGAATAAAAAGTATATAGTGTTGTTTGTTTTTTTAAGTTAGGCACTATCTAACTGAGTTACTTTTCTGTCAACCTGACATAAATTGGTCGATCAGAAATGATTTTCAAAACTTATATTTCAGTGATAAACAGTCCTATTCATACGTTTGGTCACACCTGCAGCCAATGAGAAGCAATGCATGAAATGTGCAAAAACATCCTCCAAAAACCAGTTGCATTTTTTCCCCCTTTTAAAAAAGTGACCCTGGGTGGGTTGGGTGTGCTTATGTTTCTTCTTTGCTAATTGGTTTTCTCAGATAGAGGTATGCCTCAATGGTATTGGATAACAACTGTGCAAATATATGCTAATCCAGCTAAGGAAATAAAAAGTGATGCCATCTTGTATTTCTTAAATTAAATGCATCCCTATAAATTATAGGCTTAGCAAGCAGGGAAGAATTGACAGAACCATCATCATGGGGTGTGTAAGGCAATCTTAGACGCAGAAGATAAGTACTGGGAGCCTTCTCAAGATCCAGGAGCTCAGACGCTGCCCAGAGCCACTAGGGAAGACATTCACTCCCTACCTGTTCCAGATTTGGTGGAACCTGAAAGTCAGTATTTGATTGACAAGTGGTGGGGACCAGTAGAGATTATAATCAATTAGATTCAGGCACAAGACACACAAACTGAGCTGCCCTTCTCAACATCCATTCTCTCTCTGCCCTGCTTGTGTCTTGGCGGGATGACTTGTGCAGACTGCATCCACTGGACTCCCTGCCTCCTGGCTTCCTAGTGGGTTCAGTCAATGCAAAGATCAGCAGGAGATTGGGACTCTTCCTGGCTACCTCCCTGCTGGGTCTCTTCTTGCTGGTGGCTGAATTCCTTTACCTAGGCACAGCTCCTGTCTGGAGCCCCTCTCCTAAGCTACTGCTCTCCCTGGGTTATAGTAGCCGCTTCCTCCACCTGTTCCTTCAGACCTAGTGGTAGTCAAGGCTTCCATTTAATTGCCCTCATCCCTGTCCTGTGTTTCTCATTATTCTTTGCTGGTTTCCTCCACGCTCTACACTTCTGTGGATAGTGCTTGATTAAATTCTCTTCAGTCACCCTACTGAGTGTACCTTCCATTTCCTCTGGGGATCTTGACAGATGCGCATAATACTGTGACAAGTCAGTGAGAGCCTGGCTG